TAGAGCAAGTAATGCCCCCCTGAGAAACACTCGAGGTTGCTATAAAAGCATAGGACTAAGTGCCTTCAATCTCAGCAAATGGAACGCTATTGGACAGACAAGACTATGAAATAAAGATTGAATGAAAACCTATGCACTCAAGTTTCCGCAGCAGAATATTGCGATATCAGAGAGATATCAGTATAAGTAATATCTACTTGCCACCCAGGCGTAAAAGCTGAGATGCAATATTGGAAAAACACTACTTAATTAGGGACTGTAGAATGGTCACATATAAAGTCATGCTCGTGGGAGTCTAAGGTATAAATTCACCAACGACTTCATCAATTTTTGAATTATTAACGTATGAACTTTACACTGAAATATGGTCAAAGAGTACAATTAAAGTATGGGAGAAAAGAAAATCAGTCAAACGCCTGAAAATATTGTGAATGCCCTTTGAAAACACCAAGTAATTCACTAATATTAAAGTCGCATTATACACATTTTTCAATAGTTTTTAAATATTTTCACATTCCAAATCCTAATCCAATGCTCATTCATCTTTAACAGATCGTGGAAAATGCTCTCAATTCGAAAGTGGATTTCACCAAAATTTTTCTTCACACTCCAGCTTTGAAAGTTTTCGATACAGTGCCCACCGGTGGAAGCAAAGGAAGGGTAAGACCTCCACTCCGCTGGAACGACCAGGTAGAGAAGGGCCTGGCAAAAAGAAAAAAATTAAAGGCGCAATGTTGTTAAATCGGCTATAATCGCGTAAGCGGTGTCAACGCCAATAAAGAGAAAAAAATGTAATGCTTTTCAATATATACTGTTATACTAAAGCAGACCTTAGTACTATGTATATTGGGTATATTTATTATATTACATCCCTGGGTGAAAAGTTGGAGTATTTTTATCAGGTGATCTCCGCTTGACTGGAGGATAGTTTTTCTACTCATAGGACTCTACAATGCTGCAAATGCATGAATCTTGTACTAAAGAAAGCTGAAACTGTTGTAGAGTTTTTTTCGGCGTTAAGGACTAATACTTCTGAAGCCAACAAAACGCGCTTATGAAAACGAATTGGAAACGTAAAATCAAAATGTTTTCACTGTTTCATTAGCTGCTGACTGAATAAAGTGACGAGAATGGCTAAAACGAAACATAAGTGCAACTTGTGAGACAAACGTACCCGTAGAGATACATATGTATACCACATATGCCACGCAAAAAGTAAATGGTTTAGGAAAAACAGTGTGTAAAAATTCTTTTTAAGAAACACTACGCTGCAAGCCAATGTATTTCGGTCTCTTTATTATAGAAAAATAGTGCAGACCAAAGTAAGTAAACATATTTACAACTACCAAAGTGCGTATATCTGACTGCACATGTCTTTTTCGAAACAGCTTTTCAATATGAAATCTCCGAGTCAACTATACTCATTCTCTCGCATCTACGCCAGTATCCTCAACACTGTCAACGGTCATTGTGGACATTTTGGTTTGCTCCCAAATGAAAACATTCACATGATTGCACACGCAAAGAACGTCACGGATGCAATAGCATTTCCCGTCACATGTATGTACATGTTCGTGTAAGCGTGGAAAAATGTGGGAAAAATGGAAGAATTAATCATACAGGAAGTAAATTGTAGGACGGGAAAGTACACAATTGTAAAAATAACTTTTAATTATAAGAACATCTTACAACCACATAAAATGCAATTTTTACAGCATTTAATCGAGAAGACCGTCACTAGGAAACGCTATGGAAGCAAATTAATTTAAATATGCGCTGTATTATCAATCTTTTCTAATGTTCAAATATCTAATTTAATTAACTTAAAAACTGAAACATATCAAGGATTGCTGGGCTGCTTTGACAAAGGATACTTTCGGAAATATCAATACCTGAGAGAAATATTAATTTATCCTATCTTCCGCACGCAGTATAGTAAATTATTATATTAAAATATATATTAAATTGAATTAAGCCTTTCTGCGGTCTCCGATGTTGTCAGAAAAAGAATCAGAAGGATCGAAATCGCCAATTTGAAATTATTCGTGCCATCTTCTGCATGTCCTATCAGAAACTGTACCTTCACCAAACACTTTCAATTTTTCGGCCGAGCTCTTCCGCCAATTTGTGGTTTTGCGTCTTGATGCGTTTGCAACAAATCGAGGGACCTACAGTTTATAGTAAGCCGTCTCCGAACGGCTGATGGTTTTTTGTGAGGAGTCTTTATTTCATGTCGGAGGGGTTGACGTTCCCTGTCGACGGGCTACCACAATTAGAAAATTTAACTTAATTTTTATAAATTTAATTAAATTAATTTTCCATAACTTTTTTGGAGATGAAGGATTCAGTTACAAGCGCAGTCTGGGTGCACCCTGTAAACTCGTTTTCGCAAACTTTCGAGTACTTGGCGATGGTAGACTTGATTTACGGTTTACTCCGGAAGAAGAAATTCTTTGTGGACGAAAAATGTTATCCCGACGCGTTGTTCTTGATTTTCGTGACGAGTATCACGAACACACGTTTACTTAACACGACACAGCAGGTGAACTAAACAAGCTAGAGCGATGGTAAATATATCAATGGAGTGCTCCCACACTTGCGTACATTAAGCGAAAAAAATATAGAGCCGAAAATGCAATAAATAAACATTTGCTTACGTGGAGAAAATGATGTCATAGATTCAGACAGAACTTTCCGGTAGACCTAATGAATATTCCTTAAAAACTTCGAAGCGAAATACTGCTACCAATTTACCACTAAAAATAAAAGGTTCAGGCTTAAATGAAACAAGGTCGAGTACAGATATTGTAAATCCAAATCAAACAAGAACTGAAGCGAGGTAACCATTCACAACGCCGTACATACGCCTATTGGGTACTTGAACCACAAGCAGTGAACGGTTATTTTTAGAAAAAAAATTTCTTCAGCTTCGATTTCCTACCAGGGATATACGTAATTAAGCAAAATACTCCCAGAATTCTCAAATAATTGAAGAAAGACCATTGCACCCACTAAAACTTCCTGTTTCATGTCCTCTATAGTCCGGATATGTGATGGGACCTAATTACTTTGAAAACGACAATGGAGAGATTGTTACTGTCAATTCAGAGCGTTTCGGTCATATGTTAATCAGCTTATAAGAACACGACTTGAACAATATGTGATGTCAACAAGATGAGGCTAAATGTCACATAAACTGAGTGACCGGCGCAAGAAAATTTCAGTCAAAATTCCAGGAAATAAGACTCGTTAGAGAAGCCAAGCACAATGGTCGTCAAAAAACAAGTCGTTCATATGACAATATCGAAGCAGTGCGGGAGAGTGTCCAGAAATAGACAAATTCCAAGCACCGAAAAGGGTTCGTTTAATGGATTATTGACCACAATAAATAGATGCTGATTTCTTGAGCAAAATCATCTTAGCGATGATACATTTATATCTTGATAGGTTTGTTAATCGCCATATTTTTTTTTTTTAGAAAATGAGTCTAGTCGAGTGGTGACTTTTACCGGTGCTCGACATCGCAGCATGATAACTCATTTCTCTTTGCCGTAATTGAATGGAATTAATGTTTGAAACCGCAACAAGACGGTGCCACAAGTCATACAGTCCGTGAAACACTTTATTTTCTTCATGAGATATTTCTAGGTCGCGTACTCTTTTGTTTTGGTGATCAGAATTGACCCCATAGATCATGTGATTAAACACCATTAGATTTCTTTTTATGGGGTTATTTGAAGCCACAGGTTTATTGCGACAATTATACAACCATGCGTGCTTTAAAGGAGGAAATTCAACCACATTTATGCAGAATAGTCATAATAAATTTATACCAAAATGCCAAGACGGGAGAATATGGCGCCGAACACCCTGTAATATAATGCTGCTCAAGACTAATGACTTGAGCGGTAAAATGACCTGTTAACGAAGTTCATGGCAACCATTAAGTTTACACTGCCCGCTTAAGCAGTTCAATCCAACTTGTGCCTCAACTTTCGACTAACCTAAGGATGAAAAAATATATAAAAAATCGAATAAAAAGCAATACAAGTGACGTCACACCAAACAAAAATGAGTGAGTATAATTTTTAATGTAAAACTGCATGAGCAAGAATATATTTTTTGAGGTTAAGAGAATTCAGCAACAGTAAAAAAAAAACAAAAAAGTAAAAGCTAATTGGCTTGCAAGTAAGAGTAATTTCGTCAACTGCCTAAAATATTATACAAATTCCGTTTAAAACTAGAATTTCCCTTCGACAATGGAATGAGGCAACAGAGCTTTTCGCAGCAAAAGCACGTATAGCAGACACTCTGAGAAATTTGTTCGTGGACTTATCTAGAGCTTTTCATTCATAACGAACAGCTGATAGTATTTTGGCGCCATCAAGTTAGGACTTCGGATCAGCGTTCATTTGTTTAGCAGCATTCTTCAGCTTTAACTGTAATTCAGTAGCAAGTCAGTTGAATTCCGCTGTTTGAACGTTTTGGATGCGTTGAATATTTACACTTCGCTAATTAAAATAATGGGAACGCGTTGAACGATTTTCTGTGGTTGAAGAGTGCGTTTTTTTTATTGATTGATTGAATTATGGTCGGTTGAATAAATTACGCCAAATAAAATTTATGCGTGCTTTGGTTATTTGTGTGCGACGAGAGTTGGGTTTGTGTAACCCTTGATATTGTAAAAGGCAATAAAAGTGAAAGAGGAAATGTGGAAGACGTGAAAGCGCGCACTTCGTGTTTCCTTCTCATCTATTCAAAAGTGCCGATTGGCGCCAAGACGTTTGGACGTTTGTGAAGCAAGCAAAGTAAACTTTTATGTTTTTGTGTAATTATGTGCCATAGTTTGTTTATCTGATAGAATGTATGCTGAGTGATTATAAAGAGTCACTCTCCACCAAAATATTGTATTTTCGCAGATCATTCAACGAGGTCGTTAACACGTTCTTATGTCACTAACGAAGTGTAAATATTTATCTTCCTTACCGTTCACCTTTAGCTTCACTCTCGAGCTGATTCGAGTAAAAAAGTTGTAACAGTTGAATAAACAAAACGGAAGTTATATCAAGCGGAAGACAAAATCTCGTACGAAGAGGCTCTACGATGGAGGTATGTACGAAATACATGACAGTAGGAGTTCGTAACGCTATCAGTAGGAATACATATGTACTTATTGTTCTTGCATATTTATTATTTAAAAGAGAAAATAATATTGGCAAAACGTACAAGACACGTGGTGTACGAGAAAAGCTTTACAATATGTCTTATGTGCTCGAGGTTTTATCTCCACAAATCTTTAAATATGCCATTATGAGCTTAGCGGTGCAATTTTTTTACTTTTTCTATTATTTTTATACTTTTTTTTTATTTTTTCCAAATCGAATTCCGAAATGAAATTGTTAATTTGGAGATCTGGAATATATGTATATAACTGCTTTTGGCTGCAGCAAATTATAATTTTTCTTTCACTGCATAATCAGCTGTTACTTACACATTAAATCGCATTTATCGCCATTATTTTAACAATTTCCGTGTTACTTTATTATATGACTAATAACGGTACAGAAGTTTGTTGGCTGTTTTTTATTACTTCTGGTACTGAAGTAAGTTTGTGGAAAAGTTTTTGTCATGCCGGTTAAAGTTTTTCTAATATACATACACGTACATATAATCGATTTTCACGGGCTTTCCTTGGGCCCAATTCATCACCAGTCAAATCAGTCGCCATAGACAGGAACAGATGGTAGTCACTTGGTGCAAAGTTCAGAATATAAAGTGGCAAAAAAGCTTCCCAACCAAGCTCTCGGAGTTTCTGGTGAGTGACTATCGATATGTGTAGTCTGGCGTTGTCCTGATGAAACACAATTCACTTTCTATTAGCCCAAGTTGGGCACTTCTGGGCTATTGCTTTCTTCAGACGATCTAATTTCCAACAGTACGAATCCGTATTGAGAGTTTAGTCGAAGGGATCAGCTCGTGGTGGTTAATTCCTTTAAAATCCCTTCACAAGCATAACTTTCCTCGATGCCAATATTAGCTTAGGTTTATGTCGACTCGCTGCCTTTCGACCATAACCGTTTTCATTTTACGATGTTCTAAGTGATCCAATTTCCATCATCAGTTTCAGAAATGGGTCGATCTTGTTACGAATCGACAGCTATTCGCAGTTCGAAATCCGGTTCATTTTATCACGTTAATTCATGTGGACCCCCTACATCGACATTCTTTGTGAACTCAGCCTTTCTCAAGTGGCTCAAAACTGGTTTTTGTGCTATGTTTAGCTCCTGTACAATCGAAAAAGTGTTCGCATGATGGTCAAAATCAAAGGTTTCTATTATTTTGTCGCCAATTTCACCAATAAGCCTTCAACACCGCGAGTATTCTTTACATCAAAATTGCCGAAACGAAATCGACGAAACCAAAATTGTTTATAATTGACTGTTAAAATATCGGGGCATTATTCGGTACTTTCCTTTCTCATATGAAAATGTATGGCCAACTTTAGATGTCCCAAGCTATAATCTAACATCGGAGAGATTTTCAAAAATAATACGAAATAATCGAAAATCTACATTAAAAAAGTTATATTGCTTAACTTACAATAAATTCTTAGTTAATAAAAATTTTGCTTTCGGTAGATTCCTTTTAAATCTTCAACAATAATTGTTTAGCATTACTTGACTCCAATACCCTTTGTATCTCTTTTATATTAAAGAAATATTGTGATGGAGGCTTTCACCTTGATCGTCACAAACAGTTCCCAAATTCGCCGTAAAAGAATTCAAATGCGAGGGCGCCGCAAAGCTTCATATGACAGTATTCATAAGTTCATTCATTGATTCTTTATAATGTACTGATTTATGCTTTTGTGTCAAAACAAGCAAATCCTAGTTTTTCAATCTAAATCTAGACAGATAGAAATCACTTATTAAATCGTTAAAATCACTTTGTATCAAGAAGAGTGGGCTTCATAACTTGCCTCGTTCGACGGATCAATTTAGAAGTTTCGGCACAGGCAGGTCAGCACTATTTAGTAAGAGTATTTTGGGCTATAAAAAGTTAGGATATTGAAATACCTTGGGGTTGAGTCAACCGTACAAGTCGTTGATATAGTAAATAATAAATTTTGTTGTTATTGTTTTTATTTAGCTCAACTTGTTCAAAATCTCACACACGTTACACAGCGTTTAAGAGTCTAAAAAGCACTATTGAATTAATGGTATACGAGGTGTGACAATGAAGTAATGATATTGATTATATTGCCGCGATTGTAGTAGCCTTGCGATATAGAAATTCCCTTCTCCCGTCATACTCCTTCTCTCCATTGATATATATTTGCCATCGCTCAAGCTTGTGTAGTTCCAATTCTCCTCCTACAATTTGTGATTTTGCTTCCTGATGTTTTTCCAACAAATGGAATGGGCTGCCGCGGTTGCTGAGTGATTAGCATTGCTTACTGCCATTCGGAAGGCTCTTGTTCAAATCCTGGTGTCGTACTAACAACCATAAAGTTATGGAAAATTTAATTTCAATAAAAAAAATAAGCTTAATTTTCTAATCCTCCATTTGTTTGGAACGTCAATATAATGTAAGTTAATTAAATGATGTCTCTAAGATAAATATATTCATACAAAGGAATATACATATTGCAAAAAACATAATATTATTTTGAAAAGAATATGTGGGTGTCACGCAAAAACTGGTTGTGATGGAAACAAAATAATTATATATTTTTAATGAGAGCGAAATGACAAATAAACTGGCAATAAAGAGCATCAAAAAGTTTGCGTGACAGAAGCAGTGTTTACCAATTTTTATTATAGAATTTTATTACTTTTTATATTCAAACAGCGAATTGACTAACTTAAATATTTTTGTCGAAAGAAGTACATATGTACATAAAATATAAATATAAAAAAACTCACGTAGAAAAAGAATTAGGTGTAAACCAATGGGATGACAGAGATAATTCAATGTTTATTTTGAGATAAGCTACAAGCTGATGTTCACTCCATCAGATTTTAATCCATAAGAAAGTTTTAATTTACAAAAAGGATAAAAGACCAAAGCATAGGAGGCTATTGATTGTGCATGTGAGAAAATTACAGTATATAAGGAACAGAATGGCATGCATAGTGTAAGGTAAACGAATATCTCCAACAAAAGCTTTGATGAAAAAGAAATACATTAGTCTTAATTGCTCATTCTATTTGTTCACTAACAATTTTTTTATCATATATTATCAGTCTAAAGTTTTTCAGAAAAATTTTATTTATGCTTTTTCACACTTTAAGGAAGAAGATATAATATCTCATATTCAGTAATTCAATGTTCATAATAACTTTATTGAGTGTAGATTTCAAACATCTATCTAAGGCTAAGATATTATATAATACTTAAATGCCAACATTCATAACCTAGAAAATGACGTGTCAGCAAAGGGAACCTCCTTAAATAATGCAATATAAATATTATACTAAAAACATCATTTCATTTGCTCAAGGAAAATACCCTTATTTGTATAAAGAAGTCTAATACTAGCTAATCATACCCAAAAGTGGAAACTAGAAAATGAATCTTATAGCTATCGAGATTTGAATAGATGTTTAGGCTTCAATAAAGTAACTACGATTGCAAAAATGTCACGTACACGCCATGGTATACCAATTCTTATAAAATCGTTTCTAAAATTAATTCGGTAATTTATGGGTCATGTTTTAATTTAAACTCATCAATTTCTTTAGCTTTAGAAAGTAACTATTATAAAAATAAAATTATATGTAATTAATAATATGTAGAATATGGCCATTCATTTACTTCGACATTTGCTTACTTTAAGCCATGAAATCTTCTTAGGGAACTCAGTTATGTTTAAACGATTATTGTCAACATCTTAGGTACCCTCAATATGAATGTAGAATACATGCACTTACCTGTTTCAGATGTAGAGAAGTCATGTAGTAATACTTGGATGTGGTTGCGCTGTGCATGCTAAATTTATCGTGGTACTAAGCCTATCGGATTGGAATGTTACAAACTCACTACTCAAACTTCAGTACTTCCACACCCATGCACATTTGGTTTCTCAGACAGCAACAAAAATTTATATTCCCCAAAAACCCAACCAATATCTACCGAACAATTCACGAAACCTAAAAGTCTAGTGCCATGTAGCGATCAAAGCCCAGAAAACCAAAGATACCCGCCTCCCTTTTTCACCACCTCTCAACCATAATGAGATACATTTTGAATCACCAAACCCAACAAAACGACAAACCTAAGGCTTACAACCAGCTTACAGCTCTAAAACTTTAACTACTCATTTTTAAATTAAAATAAAATATAAAAATATAATCTATTTATCATATTGTCACTTTTACTTAAAAGTAACAACTCGAAATGGAACATTATTCAATCAATCTTTAAAACAATTTTGAATTCATAAATTTATGTGTATGTTGGTCATCTTAATTTGAGTTATCTTATATATACATACATATATACCATATCAAAGGACCTTGCGAGTAAAATATTATTAACTCATTTATTGGAGTATAAATATAAGTACGGCTTTGATACCAGACGAGGTTTCTGACAGAGTGATTTCTTATCGAGTTACTTTTTTAACTTATTGGTGGAGAAAATGATGCGAACTGCACAGCTGAATAGGAAAGGTGCAATCTGTTATAAGAGTGCAGAGCTGCTGGCGTACGCCGATGATATTGAGATTATCGGCCTCAACAACTGCGCCTTGAACTCTGCTTTCTCCAGATTTGATAATGAAGCGAACCGAATGAGTCTGGTAGTGAATGATGGCAAGGCAAAATATTTGTTGTCACCCAAAAAACAGCAATCGCATTCGCGACTTGTCTCCCACGTCACTGTTGACAGCCGCAACTTCTAGGTCATAGATAACTTTGTCTATCACGAAACCAGTATTACCACCAACAACAATACCAGCCTTAAATTAAAACGCAGAATCACTCTTGCCCAACAAGCACTACTTCGGACTGAGTAGGCAATTGAAAAAATAAGTCCTTTCTCGACGAACAAAGTTCAAACTGGACAAATCGTGATTGGTCTCGTCCTGCTATATGGTGCGAAGGTAT